AAACAAAGTTCATCGGACGTGCGCGAAACTGGTAACGTGTGCGAAAACGTCGGTGCAGTGCATTTGTGACCATATTTGGGCATCGTGTGGACTGTGCCCTCTCCTCATGCATTGTGTGGTGCCTTTCCTCTCCTTCGTGGGTTGAGCGCCTAGATCATGGAGCGCCGTATTGGCTGAAGCCGCGGACAGTGCGCCCAGCGTTGGCAACGGGGCGCTATATAAACGGAAGACTCTTGTGTATTTAGAAGTCCTAAAGTGCTACAGTTAGACAGTTCTCATGTACAGTTCTTGACTTCTCGTTCTCCTTCTCAGTTACTAACAATGTAAATAAATTGTTGTTTTTACGAGCGCCTCATCAGACTTGTTCGACGATGGGTCTTAGGACGGGGGCCCGTTACCAAACTGAGACCCGCGGGACCCGGAGTCGCAACACACGGTACCGACGAGAACACATGTCCGAAGTTTTATTGAAATCGGCGAATATCGAAAAAACGCCGGAGTTCCCCTCTAACAAGCTTCCGTTGACATTCCAAAAGAAGTATGTGGGTCAAAGTGAACGGTGCGTAAATTAACATTTAACATTTATAACACGACTACAACGTGAAAGAAAAAAAGGGTGGGCTTCTCGGTGCGCACTGCAAGCATCGCAATATTTCAGGTTCCAGTGCACCTGAAATATTGTGCATGTAAGTTTGTGCACGGAAGTTTGCGCATGTGTGTCACACCTTTTTCTGTCCAGGTTTCTTAGTGCGCTATGAAATTTGGAAGAGAATACTTAAAGATCGCCACTCCACGCGTTCCGATTCGCGCGAATCATTAAACGGTTGTGCTGTGATCTCCGTGCCACTTAGAAATGTGTACGCTCGAAAGCGCCCGCCGCAGTGGCAGAGTATACGAAAGAAGCGCGCCTCTCAAAGAAGAGACAACTGTGGCTGTTTTCAGTTTGCCCTCGTTCTGTGTATACCTGTGCGTGTTCCGTGTGTGTGTGAGTGTGTTTGAGCAGCGCGCTTTAAATGTCGAGCTGTGACACCTGGTTCAACCTCGTCCTAGTGCGTCCTTTTTGCGCACGCTGCAAGTTTCGAGCTCCTTGGCTTCCTTCCCGTAACATTACAATTTGTTGTTTTAGCATTCATTCCTTCATCCTTGTGGCGAAACAATTCACAACAAACGCTGAATTACCTCTGTGAAGACACGTTTTACTTGCGTATTATGCATAACGATCAACCGTGATGTTATTTATTATCGCATATTGTTAAGCCATAGAATCTACTTGATATGACAGTGTATATAAACCGAATAGGAGTAGTTTTCTTTTTGCGTCATGGTCCTACTTGTCTCGCATGGTTACTAAGCTGCAAGGGCGGTTAGTAACAACATAGTAAAGAACCAGCCGTTTGAGAAAGTGCAGCTCACAAGCTTACGAAGTGGCATACTTGGTAAATATGCCGACTTTCTTTATATAGAGTGCATATAGTACTATAGTGGCAAGTGCCGCAAGTTGGGCTGGTTGACAATAGTGCCTGACTTCCGGTGAATAACGAGGCAAATGAATGATCGATGATTGATTTGTGGGGTTTAATGCCCCATAGCCATCATATGATTATGAGAGACGCCGTAGTGGAGGGCTCCGGAAATTTCGACCACCTGGGGTTCTTTAACGCGCACCCAAATCTGAGTACACGGGCCTACAACATTTCCGCCTCCATCGGAAATGCAGCCGCCACAGCCGGGATATGATTACACGAGTTTATAGCGAGGCAAAATAAACAGACGTATCCAGACAGGACAAGTGCTAATATTCGAACCTTGTTATGCGGAATGAATTCATACCAACTCACAAAGATCTCACGCATCGTTCTCACCCGCACCTCCAGCCCAGATGACGTTTAATTGCTGCAAGGTCTCTGTAGCGAAAAGGCAGAGGGCGCCATATGGCTACGATGAGGGTCAAGTTGAGAGACTGGAAGCGAAAATAGCGCACCTGTCGGTGCGAAAACTGCGCGCACATCTGGTGCGCGTAGGCGAGCATGTCGGACGCGTTGCCCGTGGCCGCGGCGCTGCGGTCGCCGAGCTCGTTCTCGTGGTAGTCGCTCTTTCGCTGCAGCCGCAAAACACCCCGGAAGTCCTTGCGAGAGTGCTCGAAGTTGTGGCACACGTAACCGTAGAAGTTGTCACACGGATTCGGAGCACCCTGCGGCGCCGCCATAATTTCCAGCGCACGCACGCAGAAATTGGTCCTGCGGCACACATAATTTACGAATGAAATGTTGCAGTACAATCACTCAAATGACCGCGAAAGTAGTGTCGAAAGGCATTTGACAACGTTGCGCACTCAGCTATTCTAGAGAACCTTATAACCCTGGGAGTCGGCGTAAAGATGTACAACTACGTCCGCGACTTCCTCAGCCACCGCACAGCAACACTTACCTTTGGCGATCACAGCCTGCCAGGCATCACGCTTGGAGCCCGTGGTACGCCCAGGGAGCAGTCCTCTCACCTATTCTTTTTAACATAGCACTTCTACATCTGCCCCAAAAACTGGGTCAGATCCCCGACATCCACTTCAGCTTCTATGCCGACGACATCACCGTCTGGGCAAACCGTGGTAGTGACGCCGAAATAGAAGAACACTTACAGTTGGCACTAACCACCATCGACACATATGTTCGAGAACGTGGCCTTACCTGCTCCCCTTCCAAATCAGAGCTCTTTCTTTACCGACCGAAGCAGCATGCTTCAGCCATTCCCCCTATCTCTCTCACGCTAGGTGCCCACCCCATCCCACTTGTCTCAAAAATTCGGGTGCTAGGGCTAGTACTCTACTCACATGGCGCACATGGAGAAGTCATCAGGGACTCTCCAAACACATGCTCAGCAGACCATCGCTGATTCGTCGCATACGAACCGTCGGCTGGCCTACGCGAGCGAAACACGCTTCGCCTCACCCAGGCTTACATCGTCAGCCGCACCACGTATGCCGCTCCCATACCTACCTCTCCGACAAAAGAGAGAGACCGCATTAACGCGCTTCTACGAGTTGCACAAAAACAGCTCTACGACGCCTTCCCCCAAGCACATCCAATGACAGACGTCTTCAAACTGGTGTACATAATACATTTGAGGAACTCGCTGAAGCCACCTTTACGGCACAAATATGTCGTCTGTCTATTCGGTGAGTGGGCCGCGCTCTTTTGACCCAATTAGACTTATCCCCAATAACAGAATCACCTGGAAGGGTCCCTCTTTCTTCTAACCCTCCGCTCTCACCTAAACGTACCGCCCATTTCCAAGAACAGGCATCCTGTGGCGCGACGAGAAACGCAGAAAGGCAAGGCCCGGGGCCCTCCAGAGACAATATGGCGAGGACCAGAATGTAGTCTACGTTGACGCAGCGGAATATGCGTCAAGATCCCGCATGGCCCTTGCGGTGGCTGACAATCAGGCAAATCTCCTAACTTCTTGCTCAATTATCACAAATTCCTCCACAGAGGCAGAAGAGGCAGCCATCGCGCTTGCTCTCATCTCCACACCTGCCACCACTATCATTAGCGACTCGAAATCAGCTATTCTTAACTACGCCAATGGCCTGATATCATGTAGCGCTGCTCGCTTGCTACGCTTCTGGCAGCCTCAGTGCTCCACAACCCTGATCTGGACGCCAGCAAAAAAAAAAAAAAAGCTATAATGAAAATCGCGTGTGTCCTCCCGTGCAGGTGCAGCTAGTCGAAGCGAATGGCATGCACAACGCGTGTTGGCCATCCTCTGCGCATTCCGCAAGCTAACGGCAGGCTGCGTTCACGCACTGCAGCGGACGCAGTACGTGGACGCCATTTCTGTTGCTGCATGCAGCAACAGCGATGAGAGCACCACTGGGCAAGGACGCAGTGGCTCGCCCGGACCCTCCCGTTCGCACCGGTATAGAATGCTGGTTCTAGTAGGACTCGCTGTTGGGTTAGTGGGTGCATGCCTTGATTAAATAGTCAACTTCCCCATGGTGTCTATGTGTGTTTGTTTCTCTGTGTAGTTGTGAATTCGGCGCGATTGTTTAATCAAGACATGCTGATTTTAGTTGACTATGCTTGACGCTTTGCTTGACTCGAGTAGATGCTATGTAAGCAACAGTACTTCTAACCAGTAGTTGGGCACAACCCAACATCAGCGTCTTACCACTCGATGAGGGCAAAGTTTCTCCTTCATTGAATAAGAATAGTAAACATGAAGTAATGAAATATTCCCGAACAACACCCAGTTGCGCGACATTCACGCGATGCCCCCCCCCCTACTCTGCGACGCATTTACTCGAGTTACCCCCCCCCCCCTTGTAGCTGACGGCATTAAGTATTACGCTAGCCACCGCCCGATCTAAAGGGTACCCATACCGTCCCGTCCGTCCGTCCGTCCGTCCGTCCATCCGTCCATCCATCCATCCATCCATCCATCCATCCATCCATCCATCCATCCATCCATCCATCCATCCATCCATCCATCCATCCATCCATCCATCCATCCATCCATCCATCCAAAAGATGCAAGATGTTATAAACTAGACGGCGGTACGTGTAGTTGATTATGAAAGATGCGAGTGTGTTAAAATAGGAATGATGCCAGATATGGCGCGTGTCATCGTTCGATATAGTGCGGCGACGTACGCTAGGGGGAGCATTGCAATAAAATCGAGTGGGCAAAATGTACGGAGGATTCATGGTTTATCAGGTTTACCTCCGGAGCTTCGCCCACTCATCATCATTCACTTCGTGGATGTGGCGGCACTTTTTTCTATACCTTTTGACAATGCCTTTTGATCAGCTTTTAAAAAACAATACCTCGACTATGTAAGCTCGTTTGATGTTGAATTATATGGTCACTTAAAGGAAATACTTGTGCCATTTCAATCTTCCATATCGGTGTGAAATCATGAAGGAGCAAAAAAAAAAAAAGCTCCCTTCTTTTTTCAAGTTTGCCAAGTGCGAAAAAAAAAAGTACGTGAACGAAAGACTCACCTGCACCCGTAATTCCAGGAAGTGTCGCGCGTGCTCATCAGAGTGACCACTAAGTAAGCGGTAGCAGATGCTACGCCCACCACGAATACCAGGCAGCCGGCGCACAGGGCGATTAGTTGGCGGCCGGACAGTCCACCCTCGGCGAGAGCCATGCGCCGTATCCAGCCGCTGCAAAGAACGCCATGACACTTCTAGACTCGCGACGGCGAGCCGCTTCGAAGCGAGCTGTGGGTTCGTTCAAGAAGACACTAGTCGTTTCAACACTGACTCAAAAAGGAAGCCAATACACCAGAGACGCTGGCTGACAACTGAATATTCGCAAAAAAGCGAAAGGAAAAAAAATCCCTGCATTTCAAGCTGCTTGAAGATAATTATGAGGCGAAGCTTTCGGAGGTGATTATTGTGATTAAAGTCGAGATAGTACTGAGACTGATTGTGGTTGTAACACTTATATATTTTTTTATTCGAAGAGATAGTGCTGAGACCGATTGTGATGGAGCAGTGATTCTTCTTTATAGCTGATATGAGGTTCCGAGTTACGTTTTGACTTCATAATCACAGCTTCATTAGCTATCGTCTCTGGTGTAGAGTTTTCTTGTCGGTATTGCCGCCTTGCATCCGCTTCAAGTTGTCTCAACTGCGCGTCAGCTTGGCGTTTTTCCCGCTTATCCTTTGCTTCCTTAGCCCTAGTCTGTGGTGTAGAACTTTTTTGTCGCCGTCACCGCTTTACATCCGCTTCCTTCTCTTTTGTCTCCGCGGTAGCTTCCCGTCGACGGCGATGCTGACGCTCAGCACGTCGCGCTTTCCTGCGTTCGTCTTCGTCCATATGAGAGAAGAAAATGTGTGGTATGGAACATGGTTATACATATATAGCGTTGACAGCAGCGCCATCACATCTACAATTAGCCACAGTGCCCTCTGTTGCTTATAGGTTGAAGGTTACATGCAAAACGGTTTCCACCAACGCCCTCTGTTGCTTACAAGTTGAAGGTTACGTGTTACGGGCAGACGGGAGACGGCGGACATCGTGAGGTCTTAAGGAGCTTCGCCCCTAAAAGGCACGAAAATTTATCTGCGCACGCCCATGGAATAGGCGATCCTATAGATCCGGCCCGCGTGTAGTTCTACGTGAAAGATAACAGTCAAGTTATTTTATTTCTTATTTGTGGAAGTTAATCGATAAGTTGCTCAAGCACGTGCTGCCAATGTTGTCGATATGACATGCCTCAATCATCAGACACGTTTCGTCATTCCTATGCAGTTACAAAATTGCGCATTTATCGAATTTCGGCAGGCAGTTACATCCTCGACAATGCAAAGATGGATTAGAAGGTGAACCTGCTGTTAAGAATTTTTCAGGTTCCGATAATCTCTGGTTAACGCAGCGGCCTGTCTCTCCTACGTAGAAGCGACATGCGTACATTTGAACGAGGTGTACGGCAAGCAGTGGTGGTGTGTTTTACGAAATAAATATCAGTCCACTTTTACTCGCTTATTCTTTCTGTGCACAGAAGCACCAATCTCATGTAGCCTACTGGTAGCTCTGAGATACGCAGTGAATGTATATAATACCTGCGACACGTTTCTTTCTATCGCTGCACTCTAGCACTATCTTTTTTTTTTTTGGGGGGGGGGGGGGAGTATGGTTCATGTCTATCGAAAACGAAAAACAGCGTGAACCAATCGTTTACTTCGCCCCTTTCATGTTGTGTGATGGTTTGCAATCTTTCTCCTTTTTGACTGAGCAGCGATAAAGCTGAGCTACATGTCCGATCAGAAGCGAGCGCTGTATACGAAGGGACGAAAAAAAAAAACTATGGCACTGGCTAACAAACAACACAATCTTTCGGGCAGCGTATGAGCCCATTTTCAAGAATAGTAAACAAAAAATTGTCGCAGTTTACCGGAGTGAATGTTCATGATGAAGTGAAGCTGTCGACATTGAAGCCACCGACTAGCATAAAGTACAGACGGATCAGCTGGACGGTCTATTCTAAACCAATATGCGCGCTATGTACGGTACATGTAACACCCGTGTTTCGGTCCCACGGCAAGTTACGACAATGGCGTTAACGGACATCGTGAGAGCCTAAGGAGCTTGATTCGCTCCTTAAGATCATGAGTCATTCTGCTGTGTGGTTACCGCAGAAGCTTTGACACGCCCAGTGTATGTCTGTGAACGAATACGCCGGGCGCGCTAACAAATTAAAGTTTAATCTTTGGATTCAGATATAGTTGTAAAAGGATAGACAAAAGATATAAAATAATATAGTGATTAGCCAAGCGCGAAAGTTTGCAACACGGGTCATGAAAAAAAAAAAAACCTTGCATCTTTCTTTGGGAACATTTCATTCAATATGCTAGCTAGTTTCGCCAAGCTTCTGTCTCGAGGTTAATGCCTCGTGTGCACTCGTCTAGTGCTACGTGTTGCCTGGCACTGCTTCACTGCCATTATGAACCAAATAGTCCAAAAATACGTCTTGCTTTTAGTACTTTTATATAGTGCCTACGGAATAGGGGGGTTTGCATCGAAACACAGGTTTCACACTAACAGGACAACTTGTCCCGTTAGTCTGGAACTTGTATACGTAGAGTATACTGACGGACCATGTCGTCGGTTCCAGATGATTTCGAACTGAAGAGGCTGTCCGCCAGCAAGGTACCCTGTGGCACATCAGTATACTGACCCACCTTGGTGACGCTGTCGACGACATGCCTTTAGAGCTGGAGCCCTCGGCCAACAACTGGACGTCGTTGAACTCCTCTAGCTCGTGTTCGCTGGATCCTGATTCGCGGGGCTTGAACCAGCCGGGAGGTACGTAAGCCTCACCCCGATGTCTCTGCAGGAGCGGCTCCTCCGACTCCATCTCCAGGGCAAGGCTCCCTTCGCCGCTGTACTGAGTTGCCTCGCCGCTGTACGGAGTCACCTCATCGCCGCTCTCCAGTAGTTCGTTTCCTGAAACGTACTCGGCGGTTCCTGGTTCGGCAGACGCCGCGTCATCCTTACCGGCACTCGCTGAGGCCCCGCTCGTGGTGGCGACACCAAAGCCATGTTTACCACTGCCAGATGCACCACTTGTGGTAGCGGCGGCAGAATCGCTTTTGCGACTTCTAGACGCGCCGGTAGAGGTGCGGGCACAAGATCCACTTTTGGCACTTCCTGATGCTCCACTAGTGGTGGCGGCACCAGATCCACTTTTGCGACTTCTAGACCCACTGCTAGTGGTGGCGGCACCAGATCCGCTTTTGACACTTTTAGACGCAACTCTAGTGGAGGCAGCCCCAGATCCACCTTTATGACTTGTAGAGGCGCCACTCGTGGTGGTAGCAGAAGATCCACTTTTGACATTTCGAGTCACACCAGCTCCACCTTTGAGACTTTCAGGCACACCTTTACTGGTGGCGGCCCCAGATCCAAGTTTGCCACTTCCAATCGCACCATTTCTGGTGACGGCATCAGGGCCATTTTTATGACTTCTGGACCTACTGCTCATAATGACGGATCCAGATCCACTTTTGGCGCTTCCTGATGCACCACTCGCGGCGGTGGAACCAGATCCATTTTTGTGGCTTGCAGAAGCACCAGTCATGTTGGCGCCAGCAGATCTATGTTTGCCACTTCCAGACGCACCACTGGTGGTCGTGGCGCCACACACTTTTGCGGCTCTCTCTGCCTGTGCTGGAGAAGTTCTTGGAGATGCAGAAGAGGTGTCCTTCTTACCGGTGACAGCTGTTGACCTTTTCGCACTCGTCCTCGTAGCTTTTGCAGATCTCTTCGTGTGGACCTTGGCGACGTGGGACCTTGGCGTGTTAGTCGGCGAGGAGGTTCTCAACTTGTGGGCCGCTGACGTATGTGTTCCTTCACCGTCGACTGGGGTGGCTCTAGATACATCCGTGTCCAACACCGCAGTGGATCTTTTTCCAGCTTTTGTCTGATTAGGCGGGCCCGACTTCTTGCGCGTCCTCCGCACCCCAGATCGGCCTTCGTCGCTCGTTGGTGCAGCACCTTTTACATTAGTAGACTTGGACTCAGTCGTGGATGCTTCTGCAGTACGTACGCATGTAGAGTCAGGCGTCTTCTTAGTGTTCGTTGACGCCGAACGAGACATCCTGCCCTTGGACGCTGCGGTCTTCGTATTGACGTCTGCTGCTGTTCTACGCCAACTGGAATCCACCCTTCGAGAAAAACTTGTTAAAAGCACACTCGATGTGTATGTAAAAGAGTGAACGTCTAAAGATGCGGTTATGCACGAAGGCGTGGCTTCTTCTTCTTCTGCTCAGTGTCTCGCGCACTTAAAACAAAAAAAAAAGAAGTGAAGAATTCACCGACAATATTTCCTAATGCGAATTCTGAGTGTAGCTTGATGTTCCGGGTGAACTGTGTTCCGAGTTTCCGCAAGGTATTGACTGCACCATAAATAATAATTTCTGTTAAGTATATAGAACAGCAACCATCTCAAAACGTAGGACCAGTTTAGAATTTTAATACTTAAAACCATAGAGTAAACGTGGTTGGGGAGTCTGTTTATTCTTGTATTTTTTACCCGGTCAGACAGATATCTGTCCAATGTTTGTTTGTTGTCTGTGAGCATTGGCATATTGTTTTCCATTGAACTGTATCTTCTACTTCATTCCCATGACACGAGCGCCGATTTCTCCATCGCGAGACGACGAGTACTGACATGTGGAAAAAAAAGAAAGAAAAAAAAGAATAAAAAGAGAGAAAGAGTGATAGAGAAAAAAAAGTTCTAAGGAAACATTTCTTCGCGAGACAAGACTCGAACTCTCGTAAACACCATCCGAAGGTGAGCAGATACAGTGAAGCACAGCATTTGTGAGTAAAGCTTCGTTCTCAATGACGACAGGCCTGCGTGAGACTCGGGGACAAATTTTTACCTTCTCGCTGTGCTGCAGCTATTTGCGTGTAATAGCTGTGAACGTATATAACTATGAAGTAGCAGAAACGCGTGCAGGCCCTCGACACACCCTTCAGCCGTTATCTCAATTGGTTACGATCAAAGCAGACACGAGCAAGACACACGCGAGTAATGGAGGTAAG